GGTAAATTGTAAAGCATAAGGAATGCATGGTCAAAGAACAGAATAAATTTTCCTTGTGAGATCTGTAAGGCATTGTATGCGTGTGTGTGTGTGTGTGTGTGTGGTGGTGAACTTGAACTTGTTGAATTTGATAATGGGGTGAGCTGGAGGCATTGAGGCCCATGGAGACTCACATCATTTTACTGCTTGCTTAACTTAGATATATTGGCTGGTTTGAATGTGGCTTTAGGCTCCATTGGACCAGGAGGATGGAAAGGGAAATCAGAAAGAAAAAAGTAATTAGATTAAATTTCCTGCTTCATGGCCTGATCACATCAGTATCAAAATGAAACTGTGTTCCAGGATGTCATTAACCTTATATATTTTGAGTATTTTAATGGTCAGATTGAGTATTCCATCTCTAAGGTGGTTAAATTAAGATATGCATTTGTGTATTTCAGATTGTAGGGAACTTAGAAACTGAACTAGGATTTAGATTCCAATATTCTTGAATCTCAGCCTAGACCTCTTCAAGTTGATAAATAAAATGACAACAAAAGAATATACCCAAACATGTGCTCATAAATGTGGATAAACACAGTATATCAGACCTGTGTAGTGATATGCAAATACATATGAGCTATGCAAAACTCATGCACACGCCAAATTTCTCGTAGAACATATTCATAAATAGTGAGGGCCCTAGAAACACTGAGAGGTGATTTATTCCACCAGAAAATCATTATCATCCTTTTGCTGCCTCTGAACATTTCATAACTACTGAAATAAACAGACTGGGGGAAAAATATCATTACCAATGCCAATCACGTATCTTGCCAAATGCATCATCCAATATTGGATGTCACATTACGGTCCAATCCAACAAGTAGAAGTGTGTTTCAGAAACAGTTTGGGAATTAGCAATCAATATTAACTTGTATCCTAATGTGTTTTCGTGAACGATTATAAATAGAACGATGTACTGCTGGGGACTTCTTCCTCTAAGTTTGTGGATAAAAAGTGACAACTGGTTAATGAGCTCTTCTCATCCTTGCATAAGCAACCATGTGTGTCTACACTGCCGGGGAAAAACCCTTTGTGGGACTTTAGGGTCCTTTTCTAGGTTCCACCATTTCTAAAGCCTCTTTTATGATAAGGCTGATAGACATGTCTGAGGAGAGATGAAATTTTCAAATGGGAAAGGGAAAAATGTGAAGGGCCACAGCCAGTTCATTTATTAGGAGATTATTCATAAGACAAAGAGCACACTGTGTAAGTTATACGTCAAAATCCTTTCAGTTCCACAATTTCTGCCGCAGAAAATACTTAGGTAACCTCTTTGCCTCACATGGATATACAGAATGGCAAAGATTTATTTTGTCATTCCTGGCACACATGATGCTGAAATCCATACAAAGTTTTTTGCCTGGATTTCTTTTGTTCCCCCCAAAGATAAACATCTTTTAACTCTATTTTTCACTAATTTTTTGAAGGGCCCTTATATTATAATGACAACATAAATGAGCCAAACAAGCTAAAAGTTCAAAGTATTCCAACTAAACAGATTTCTTTCCACTGTGGGAGCCAGGATTCAAATCTAGGCACTGCAATGTGGGACCCAGGTGTCCGACTTGGAGGCTTAACTCCTAGGCCAGATATCTACTGTTGATATCTACTCCATTGGCCAGATATCTGCTTGTTTTAACCCAAAACAATGCTATTAGGATTCATCTATACTCTTATATGGTTGTTATCCACTCAGTTTTCATTGCTCTATACTGTGTTATTTTATGAGTATACCACAATTTATTTATACAATTAACCATGTCCATTTTGATTATTTATAATTTTTACTAACAGAATTTCCCCCCAATATTTGTGTAGATATTTCCTGCATACACCTATTAACTTTTGTGGGTGTATATATGTATATATGGAAAGAATTTCTGAGCTCTAAGGTATACACATGTCCAGCTTTAAAATACAGTGCAATGTGATGGAAAACGATAATAATTCATACTCCCATCAGCAATATATAAGAAAATATATTGATAGGATGTTGAATGAATCTTGCTCAGCAATTGGCAATACCAGACTTCTTACTTTTTGCCAACTGATTATGTGAAAAATCGTTTTCTATTTCTGGTCTCCATCTACATTTTATGATTAGAGGAGGGATTAAGCATACATTCCTTTCATCCACTTATATTCATGTATTATGTTGTGCATTTTTGTATATTTTCCATTGCTTTTCATATTTTTGTTATAGACATAGGAATTCTTTGTAAACTGTTGATTTTGATTTTTTGTCAATTTTATATTCTTGATCTCTTTTGAATTATATGTATGGCAAATATTTTCTCCTAGATTATAGCTTCCATTTAAAACTTTTTTAAAGGTATCTATGAGGGAGTGGGAAAGGAGAGGGTTGCGGGTGGGAGGGACGTTATGGGGGGGGAAGCCATTGTAATTCATAAGCTGTACTTTGCAAATTTATATTCATTAAATAAAAGTTTAAAAAAAAGGTATCTTTATGAGCACAGTTTTCTTAATTCTATCTTAATTTTTCAATTTTTTTTTTTTTTTTTTTACAATTAGTGCTTATGTGTCTCTGTTATAACCTTCCCCACTCTAAACCCTGGAGGAAATTCACCTTTATTTTATAACGTGTTCTGATTTTATTTTATTTTATTTTATTTATTTATTTATTTATTTTTTGACAGGCAGAGTGGACAGTGAGAGAGAGAGAGAGAGAGAGAGACAGAGAGAAAGGTCTTCCTTTGCCGTTGGTTCACCCTCCAATGGCTGCTGTGGCCGGCGCACCGTGCTGATCCGAAGGCAGGAGCCAGGTGCTTCTCCTGGTCTCCCATGGGTGCAGGGCCCAAGCATTTGGGCCATCCTCCACTGCACTCCCTGGCCACAGCAGAGAGCTGGCCTGGAAGAGGAGTAACCGGGACAGAATCCGGTGCCCCGACCAGGACTAGAACCTGGTGTGCCAGCGCTGCAGGTGGAGGATTAGCCTCTTGAGCCGCGGCGCCGGCCCCTGATTTTATTTTTGATATAAAATTTTAAACTATATGGATATTTTAATGTAATATGCATGGTAAGAATGAATTTTATGTTAAGTCAACAACAGGAGTCACTGTATACTTACTCCTCATGTGTGATCTGTCCTTAATGTGCTGTCCAATGTGAAATAATGCTATAACTAGTACTGAAACAGTATTTTACACTTTGTGTTTCTGTGTGGGTGCAAACTGATGAAATCTTTACTTAATATATACTAAATCGATCTTCTGTATATAAAGACAATTGAAAATGAACCTTGATGTGAATGGAATGGGAGAGGGAGTGGGAGATGGGAGGGGTGTGAGTGGGAGGGAAATTATAGGGGGGGGGGAAGCCATTGTAATCCATAAACTGTACTTTGGAAATTTATATTTACTAAATAAAAGTTTAAAAAAAGAGTGAATTTTAATGCTTTTTTCTTATAAATAAATAAAAAATACACACAGGTTCATTTTTTGAAGCAATCCTTCTGTAACCTGCTAACTCATTTTTTTTTTATTTTTATTTTTTTTTATTTTTGACAGGCAGAGTGGACAGTGAGAGAGAGAGACAGAGAGAGAAAGGTCTTCCTTTGCCGTTGGATCACCCTCCAATGGCCGCTGCTGCAGCCGGCGCACCGCGCTGATCCGATGGCAGGAGCCAGGATCCAGGTGCTTTTCCTGGTCTCCCATGGGGTGCAGGGCCCAAGCACCTGGGCCATCCTCCACTGCACTCCCTGGCCATAGCAGAGAGCTGGCCTGGAAGAGGGGCAACCGGGACAGAATCCGGCGCCCCGACCGGGACTAGAACCCGGTGTGCCGGCGCCGCAAGGTGGAGGATTAGCCTATTGAGCCACGGCGCCGGCTCTGCTAACTCATTTTTAACATATTTATTTGTGGATTTCTTCCTATGATCTCCCCTCTGAACACTGCCTTCAGTTCCTGTAATTGGGCACTGAGTTCACATGAACTATACACTATTGCATCATTAACATATTTAAAAAAAGAACTATGTTAAATTATAAAGTCGTGCATTGACTTATGATGCAAAAGTATGTCATGAATTAAAGATGATGCTTAGTTCAACTCTTTGAGCCTGAGGTTTCCGAATGAGATAACATAAATAATGTTACAAAGAGCAGTATCATGCATATTCCTTTTCTCTCTTTATTTCCTAAGGACAAGTTCCCCGTGGTGAGACGACAAAGCTGGTTGGTATAAAAGACATTTAATGGTTTTAAAAGTACAACTTAATTGCTTTCCAAAAGGACAGACACATTTGCTCTTTATGGCAAAGGGCCTCGCTGTTAGATTACAACTTCTACATCCCCGGCAGGCAGTATGTTCTGTCCTCTGCTCCAGTCACCTCCCTCGCCACTGGCCCACCACACTGAGCATTTTCTTATTACCACCAACAAGCAGAGTATTTCCTCTTCAGACCCTGTCCATGCCTGTGTCCATTCAGCACTCACAGACCTGTTGGTCAGTTGGCCAATTACAGCAACAACCAATCCATTTTTGCCTCATACTGGGCTCCCTCTTCTCATTTTTATTAGTGACATGCATGCTCTGCCTAGTTCGCTCTTTACGCCCGCACCTTACACTTTGTTCTTTATGCCTCATTGCTTGTCTCTTTGCTAAGATGGTATGCTTCTCAAGACTTTTCAAGACCAGTGCATTTATAATGGCAACCTACCCTCACCCTTGATTCTCACCATCTCCCTTCCTGGCTTTGTTTTCCCGCTATCACTGACTACCATTTGTCTGTCTCTCCTCCAGAATTTGGAAGTGAGATCTGTTTTGCTCTGAGATGTGTACCCTGAACCTATAATAATGCTCCAAATTTGGTAGATTTTTTTTTCTCAGTATTTTCACATTTGATTATGTACTAGACACAAGGTAACTGTTCAATATATGTGTGGAATGAGTGAATGAGACCCAGAGGACTCTGCAGGGCCCACGGTTATACTTAACATTTCCCGGCCTCTATCCCACTGGAGGTCCTGGAGTAGCTGATGTCTTGGGTAGCCACGTGGGAATTGCTGGCTGAAAGACAAAATTATTTTTCAGAATCCAACTTTTTTATATAGCTGCAATTTAACTTTGCCTTGATGTGCTGAATTTTTAATCTATGTGACTTTGGGGAAATCTGAAATTGAAACTGTGCTTCCCTGGCAGGATTGGTCTGTGGCATATTAATATAGAGCAAAAGCTCTGTAGTTTATGTCCAATGCCAGTGTGTCACTGATTTGCTGTCTTTCTTTCTTCTTGTCACCATCTCAGATCACCGGGAAAATTGTGAAGATTACTTTCCTATTACCTTAAAACCCCTTGACAAATGAAAGGGATTGTGTAATAACAAACCAGCAACTCCTGTTTTTAAGATTACAGGAATTGTCAAATCAATACAGAGTCACTGTAAAGTAACTCAAAACCAAAATATCAAGATCACATAGAAATTTTTTTTGCCCATATCTCAATATTATGGAAACTACAGTAAAAATTGTGTTTTGTCTCTTTTGCTTTTTAAAAATGTATTTTCATTTTATTTGCAAAGCTGAATGACAGAGAGACACATAGGCCTTCCATCCACTCTAAATGCCTGCAACTTCCAGAGCTGTGCCAATTGGCAGCCAGGAGCCTGGAACTCAGCTGAGGTCTCCCACATGGGTGGCAGGAACCCAGACACTTGAGCCATTATCTGCTGCCTCTCAGGGGTACACCGGCAAGAAGCTGGATTGGAACTGGAGGAGCTGGGACTCCAACAGGTGCTATGATATAGATGCGGGCATTCTAAGCAGCAACTTAACCTCTGCTTGTCAGACAGCTATCCCTGCTTTGTCTTTTTGTGAGTCGTGGGATGCAAGGTTTGCTATACTCACTTTGAGAGGTGGTAGATGAAGGCATGTCCATGGGGGTCATTGAAGATGTAGCTGGATAGCCTACTTTGAAAACAAAATCACCAGATTGCTGTAAGTATTTATATTCACAAATTTATATCATTAGATTTAACGAGAGCATGGATTATTAGAATTGGAAAGAATCTTAATGGATTCATAGTGCAGCATCATAATTTTATAAATGATGAAACTGCATCCAAAAGGTCTATGCTTGTGGTTACCTACTAATATTCAATATTATTTCTTTTCTATTAACTCAGTTCTCCTAACACCCAATGTGCTGTAGCTACACTTTTGTAAATTTTTTTAGTGTTCATTATGTGCCAGACTTTACATGCTTGGGATATTACAATAAGCAATGAAGACAAGGTCCTTGTTCTAATGAAACTTATACCACAGTGAATTAATAGTATAAAATATTTGGGCCGCAGCTGTGGCATAGCAGGTAAAGCTACCACCTGCAGTGCTGGCATCCCATATGGGTACTAGTTCAAGTCCCAGTTGCTCCACTTCTGATCCAGCTCTCTGCTATGGCCTGGGAAAGCAGTGTAAGATGGTTTAAGTCTTTGGGCCCCTGCACCCACATGGGAGACCCAGAAGAAGCTCCAGGCTTTGGACTTCGGATCAGCTCAGCTCTGGATGTTGCGGCCATTTGGGGAGTGAACCAGCAGATAGAAGGCCTTTCTCTCTCTCTCTCTCTCTCTCTCTCTCTCTCTCTCTCCCACCCGCCTCTCTGTAACTCAGCCTTTCAAATAAATAAATAAATCTTTAAAAATAGTCTAAAATATTTTCATGTACCAAATTATAGTTTCTTTCTTACTTCAGTTCCTTTTCCCCCTATTTTTTTAAAAATTGAAAGGCAAAGTGCTGGTTCACTCTTCAAATGCCCACAACAGCCCAGTGTGGGCTAGTCCCAGGCCAGGTGCTAGGATCTCAAATTGCATCTCCCACACAGGTGGCAGGAATCCAACTATCTGAGCCATCATCTACTGCCTCCCGAGATCTACGTTAGCAGGAAGCTGGAATCAGAAGCAGAGCTTGGATTCAAACTCAGGGACTCTGATGTGGAATGCAGGTGTCTCAAGTAATGATGTAATTGCTATGCCAAATGCATGCACCTACTTCAATCCTTAGCTTGTAAAATTATCTTCATCTTTACACTATCCATTGCTTTCCAGTCTCTTACTTTCCTTCTTTCCCACAGTGAAAGACTAGTTCATCTTCATTTTAAATTATCTGGAGATGAAGCAAGGTAGACTAATAAGGAAGAAAAATATCCAACTATACTCCTTGTTTATGTCTCCTTAAATGACCAATTTTGGGTATATTTTATGAATCTGTCTCCTCTCCAAAGCACACTTAAGGTAGCTTACATAAATATGCAATACAAGAAGTTAAAAACACTGAAGAGAAAGGGAAAATAAGGACAAGGAAAATGTAGTTAGAAAAAAATCTGCTGAGTCCTGTTGAAATTGAGTGGGAACAGTACACAAAATGCATTTCCTGACACTCCTTATTTTTGGTAGATATGGCCCCACATTTGATCTGAACTTTGTAGTAGTAAACACTAAAAAATGAAGAGAATACATTATGTATTTATGACCATCACAAAGTATAAGCAGTCAATTTTCAGAGCTATTTTTTTAATTGTAATTAAAAGGAATATTTTCCTTGGTTTTCAGAAGAAGGTGGCTGCCTACTGTGTCCAATATCCTCAAGAAGCCCCTGTGAGCATGATCATTGTATGTCTCGTGCATGGCATCCTACCTTCACAGGCACCTAAATTCTGGGAAAGGGTATACCTTAGATAGGAAGAACATGGATAAGCAAATCTCTTAAAAATATATACATAGTAAATGAATACATTGACATCATGGTTTATACATCTACAAGTAGTTTCCATACAGATATGATCACAATAATTGCTTCTGCAAAGCAGCATACCAATGAACTCCAAAGAGACACTTGCTACACAATGGCTCCATAAAATATGTCGGATATTGTAACATGCATCGGAGGCTGGGTCATCAGATGCTGCATCAGAGATGTAAAGGAATAGGCAGCAGAGGAGGGAAGGAAAGAAAATTTGAAAACAGGATATGCATAGTGGTGTGCACAACATCATTTGTACAAAAAGAACTTCTTGAGTGCCTACTGTGTACTAGAATTGGGCTTGAAATGAACAGAAAGAGAAACTTTACCCCTGCCTTCACGGAGTTTATAGTTTAGCAAGAATAAGGGTCAGTGTGGCAGACGACTGGGCTGATCACCACTCCCATTCCTTTCTGGCACAGAGAGACTACCTTGCCCAGCTTCCTGTGCTGAGAGGTGTGGCATGTGCTGTGTCCTAAATAATGGAACATGAGTGGGCATGGTGGTTTTCACTTCAAGACCTGGCCCATAAAACCTCCCACAAATGACCCGCCACAGTCTTTCCTAATTACTCTGCAGATACTATCATGCTAGGTGACTGGGAAGTCACAGTTTGAAGATGACAAAGCTTCCAGCAGCCTGGGTTCCTGGATGTGTATAACAGAGCACCTACCCATTGTCCTGGCCCTGAGTGGTTCTTTCATTAAGGATGAATTAGCTTATATTAAGGCACAGTGAACAAAACAAACCATTATTGTAGTTTGTTTCTCTTCCCTTACAAATAGTAAAAGCATAATTACAGTACAAGGTGACAAGTGTCATGGTAGAGAAATTCGATCTATTGTTGTGTTCCAAAGGAGGGGAGCTCAGCCAAGATATGGGAGCCCCAGGAAGTCTTCCTAGCAGAAATGACAACCAAGCAGGACCTGATTGATGATCAGAATCAGAAAGACAAGTTGGGAGTGGAGAAAAGGAAGAGGAAAGGAAAGGAGAGGAAGAAGCAAGGAAGCAGGGAGAGCAAAAAAGATGGAAGGGAATGGAGACAGTTCAGTATCTGAGGGACTCTGTGAAAGGGGAAAGGACAAGTGAGGTTGAGACATAAGGAGGAGCCAGAGTCCACAGAGCCCATGGAGCAAATGCAGTCAACAAGTCTTTATGAGACACTCTAACCCAAGGGTGGCCTGGACCTCAGTGAAGGCCCTCGGGCAGCAAGAGATGGAAACAGGATTAAAAGCAGTTTAAACAGTGAACTCAACAGGACTTGCAGGATGATTAGATGTGGGGAGTAGGGGGAGAGGGATTTCCAGTTTTCTGACTTGGGCAGCTTTTCAGAGCATGGTAATACAGATAGGAAAAATACAGAAGAAGCAGTTTTGGAAGCAGCTGGAGGACATAAAATGAACTACATTTTAGATGGATTGATTTTGGGGTGTATGAGACATTCAATCAAGCAGAAAGTTGACCTTGGAAGTTTAAATCTTAGAAGTGCAATTCAGCCTGAAATATGTGCTTATGAGGCATTAGCATGTACGTGAAGGTCAGAGTAGCAGAGACCACCATGGAGGGTGGGTCCAGGGAGAAGAGAAGTGGGCCCAGGGTCGAACCAGGAGCTGTAATTGCATATAAGGAATGCCAGGAGATAGGAGTTTGAAAAGGGGGAGCCAGAGAGACAAGAAGTTAGATGGGGATGTACGGTGTTATAGAAGCCAGTCCGATTCAACAAATACTGTTGGTGAACAGTATGTGCTAGAGGGTGGGTCAGTGTAGTCAAACACTGCCAAGAAAATAGGTTTCTTTCTTTCTTTTTTTTTTGGACAGGCAGAGTGGACAGTGAGAGAGAGAGACAGAGAGAAAGGTCTTCCTTTTCCGTTGGTTCACCCCGCAATGGCTGCTCCGGTGGCGCACTGCGGCTGGCACACCGCGCCAATCTGAAGCCAGGAGCCAGGGGCTTCTCCTGGTCTCCCATGCGGGTGCAGGGCCCAAGTTCTTGGGCCATCCTTCATTGCACAGCAGAGAGCTGGACTGGAAGAGGAGCAACTGGGACAGAATCCGGCGCCCCGACCGGGACTAGAACCCGCAGTGCAGGTGCCATAGGTGGAGGATTAGCCTATTGAGCAGTAGTGCCAGCCAAAATAGGTTTCTATATAGCCCCTGGTTACTAGGAAGCCATTGCAGGAGACACATCAGCATGAAGCCAGTCTAGGGCACAGATTTGCAAGCTGCTTGAGGATTCGCAAAAGCAATGTAGCTTAACCATTAAAAATGCATTTTAGAGCCAGATTTCCTTGGTTTGAACCCTGGTTTATTTAGTTGGTTGCTACATTTATGATCTTGCAGGCGGTATTGACGGTTTCTCTTCCTCAAATTCCTCATTTATAACATAAGACTTTGTACTAGCATGATAATGATGGTTAAAATTGTCATATACTTAAAGTATTTATAAGAGTGCTGGGCATGGGATAAATGCTAAGAAGTATATCTTAGAAGCTGTTAAACAGGTCATCTGCAGTTTCATTCAGTGTTGATAATACAAGCAGATCCTAACAAGAGGCAATCTGAATCTCCTGATGACTTTTGTACTTGCCCCATTTCCCTTGGGCTTTGTAGAAGGAGATTGATCTAAAGTAACCAGTTCCTCTTTCCCCAGGATAACTCATGTTAAAAACTATATTCAAAAGTGCTATACCAGAAAGAGGCTAATTTTAAGGGGTGAATGAAAAACAGCTTGCTAGCACATTCGATTTGTGATAGGGTAGTAACTTCTTGCTGGCAGTCACCTACCAGTCGCCTTCTCTTTCACCTAAATGAACCACCAATACCAGATTCTTATGCAACAATTGTAACTTCCAGCTCACTGTCTTTTACCACTCATCAAGAGCAACATTTGATAGAAAAAAAAAATGCACAAGGCCACCTACTTAAGGCTATATGATGCACTTGTAGATAAAGGCTTGAACTGAACATCGAGACCACATTCCTGGTCCCTGCATAATTGTTCTTATATCCTGGAATACTGCCTTTCCCCTCTGGGCCACACTGGGTGACAGTCTCATAGCCTGGATGCTGGGGGACAGTCCACCACTGTTCACTTGCTGTGAGAATATTGCTGGGGCTGTGCCGCACTACGCCCCCTAGAGGAGGGCCCAGACAGCCTCTGCATTGGAAGCAACTGG